CGGTACATCTGCAGCGGAAGCTACTAAACCATTTTCAAGAAGGTTGGTCTATGGTTGAATTGCACATGGAGAGAGGGTGTTAATAGTCACTCCATGTGTGTCAACAGAGGCAAAGCTCACTTAACAATGGTCATAGAATGTCCCTTCTCTGATATTCGAAACGGGAACACGCGACCCATCAAAACTGGTACCCACTTGTTTTACACACAACTTGCGAAGCTGTCCAAGAACCAGTCGACACCCTAAGTCCCCAGACAAAAGTCAAGGAAGCTCCGTAATAGTTTTGAGGAAAAGGGATCTACTCTGTCGCAGTGTGTTAGGTGCAGCCATGCCGAGATTGTACTGGGACTCATAAGATACAATGAATCGACCAAGAACAGGCCAACAGCCCATAGTGCTTCATCACGACAATCCAAAAACCAAAGATTCCCTCGACCCTGGACTCAGTACCACCGGACCGAACAACTCTAATTAGTTAGGAGCTGCTGCTTTCTTGTTTAGTTGAACATGTCCCTGAAAATATCGGTACCGGTACTGTGGCTGGTGTTGTCTTATGTCCTACAGAACTATCACTCAACTTCTATTTTTTTGGTTATGGACACCCCTTGTTGTGAAAGTTGAACGAACCCTTCAAAGCATTCCACGCACTTTACAGCACTTCCTTCTCAAGACAGGTGATTTAGGAACTTTGTTTACCTTTGAAGCAGGCATCGTGGCTGTGGGTTTGAAGGGTAAAGATCGGCCAAAACAAAAGAGAGAAAGTGGGACCTGCACTGTGTTTGAACGTACTACTGACCAGATGGTACTAGTAGTACATTGTTGAGCACAACAAGAGAGCAAGTTGGGGCTGACTTAGTGATATCTTGCTACACACATGTACTTTTATATGGTGCGGTTGGAAAAGGTCCAAGACTCGACTCGCTAGTACCGGTACAGAAGGCTGCCTCTAGCTAGCGGTGGTACAGAAGATGCTTCTATGATTTGGCTGTCATGTTGAGCCTTGGATTTGGGTCACCAGCACAGGATTTGGGTCACCAGCACAGCCTTTGCTGTATTGGTACAGCCAACTGCAACTGTGTTTAGTACCATAGCACCACCTGGCACCTGCAAAGAGATCCAAAAAGCAGGATCCTCTCGTGTGTGCGCCCAACACACATTTGCCTTTGTTGGATACACTGTGATCAGAAAAGATACGCTGCCATTTGATTGCTCGAAGGTGGCGAGATCTTGGTTCGGGTTGGCTGGCAGTCGAATGGGATGCATGGTTGGGACCTCACGCAGAAGAAGGACACTGAGCTGACACACTACAGCCGAGTGACAGTCTTTTGTAGATGATTTGACTTCCCACTTGAGTGCATTCATTCCAACACGAGCAAGGAGGCAGGCCTCTCATCATTACTATTTTACATTTTGGCTCGAAAGGTAGGTAGCACGGCAAAGTTGGATTGGCCGCCCTTTTGTGGGCTTCAAGGTCTTACATTGAACCTCCAAGAGGTCATTCTTCGGCCTTTCCAGAGTCATTATTGGCTGATAAGTGAATCCCACTTCCGGGGGATACCCCTGAAGGTCCACGTTGTACCTAACTACTAGTAATGACGAGGGTAGCAGCAGGCCTACTGGATCCACATAGATTCTTCTTCAAAGTGTTGACGGTAGCCAAGCAACAAAGCAAAGGCGCTGAGGTTGCTTGCTTACTTGTGCAAGATAAGCCCAAGTCGCTCACTGTTTTGTTTCCGTCGTTCGTGATAGGTTTGACTTCCTTACGGGGGCTCGCCAGCTACACTAGTAGCTACCTAGCTAACGTGAGCATTGTTACAGGATTGCTCAGTCTTCACTATCCTCATAAATGAAGAACCTTACTTCCAAAAATAAGCAGTCCAAAGCTTCCTCCAAGCCGAGCACGCTATTAAGCAGCATGATGGATGTCAAGCCTTTCTCTCCCAACTCCAGCAATGCGAGTAAGAAAGACGAAAAGTCCGGAGGCGTGGTTGCCGGCGGATTGGTAGCGGCGCGCAGAAGTACCTTTGTACGGGACTTTAGTATTGGAGGCTTGATCCCCTCGTTTTCCAAAAAGAACAAGGGCAAGGACAAAGACAAGCAGGATAAGGGTAAGGACAAAGACAAGGAGGATAACACTAATAATAATAGCAAGCAAGAACCCAAGGCCAGCAATAAGAAAGCCTCCACAAAATCTCCCATCAAGGCTGTCAAGGATAAGTTTGAGGCTACCAAGGACAGCAGCAAGGAAAAAGAAGTTAAGGATGCTGCTATTACCAATACCACCAAGGACAGTGCTAAGAAATCCTCCTCTCCCTCCCCCAAATCGGAACAGCCTGCTACTAGTACTGGTAGAGGCCGAGCAGCTCCCGCCACCCGAAAAGTGGGGCGCAAACGATCCAGCTCGCTAACGTCCATGGGTCGTCGCAGGGGAACTATCTCGGATAAGAAAGATACCAGCAAGCCTGCGACTACTAAACACATCAAGGGTAGCAAGTCGTTCGACATCCTGGCACCCGAAAAAAAGAAAAAAGACGAAGACGACGACATTTTTGGCTTTGAAAAGGGTAGCAGCAGCTTAACAGAGCTAGATGCAGCCAAGGAAGTGGTTGAGAAGGAGCACTTACCACACAAGGCCAAGATTAGCCATTTTGAATTGAGAAGCAGTCAAAATGCGGCGTTGGGATATGGCTTTAACTGGAAAGATCAAATGAATTCTTCAACATCAGCAAAACCCTCCAGTAGATCCAGACGGCACACCATGGATCTGGGAGGAGGAGAACGAAAAAAGAGTCCACCTCTGAATAAAAGCTTCGGCAATGACAGCACTCACAGCGCCCCGGCCGTCAGCAAAAAAATTGCCGCCAACAGACGGACCAGCACATTTCGCAACAGCACGGGGTCTACCTTTGACAACAACAACAACAACAACAACAACAACAATGATAACAGCACCAGCAGCGACACCCCAAGCAAAATTTCCGCCAACAGACGCACCAGCAACTTTCGCAACAGCACGGGATCTTCTTTTGACGATGAGAACAGCATCAGCAGCGACAACACATCGTCTACCATTTCTACAGCTGCTAGCAACTACAACAACCTATCCGCCGCCAATGCGAAACGAAATGGCACGTTCCGAAATAGCACGGGACAGAGTCTCGACCTAAGCAGCGACGACAACTGCGGCGACACTCTCGGTCCACTTCCAACAACACGAAGAGGCTTTCGTAGCAGCACGGGAGACATGGACGACAGCAGTGCCAGCAACGCATTTGCTAGTACCAGAAGAGCCAGCAGCGCAAACTACAACTACAACACCCGAAGAGCCAGTGCGTTTCGTGCCAGCACGGGGACCATGGACGATAATAGCAGCAATGCCACGCACGTGACGAGCAACAATGCTCGCAGAAGCGGTGCGTTTCGTGCCAGCACCGGAACAACCAACGAGGACCTGTCTCCGAATCGCAGCAGAAGTCGTCGGGTCAGTCAAGTGGTCGAGTCCAAAATGAAAACACTATCGCTGGGTCTGGCCAAAACCTACAATGTCAATCTCGACCTCGACGAGGAAGACATTGAGGAAGAATTGACACTTGACAAACTGGCAGTGGTACGAAAGAGAGAATCGACAGCTCAGTTCCTCGATCGCCAACGAGCGTTTGACGGTCATAGCTCTCTCGGTGCTTTGGATTCCAGCACCAGTTCCTTGCCGACGCTTAACGAATTGGTGAGCAAGGGCAACACCAATAGGAAGAGTTTCAACAACAGTTGGGGCGATATTGAGGAACAAATCCAAACCAGAGAATTCGTGTGCACAACGCAATTTCCTCAATTGGCCGAAACGAAAACCAAGTTAGCTGACAATTGGAAAAAGACACCGCCGCCACAAGAACCACACAAGCTTCAGACTCTTACGCAAGAGCCATCTGGAGAGGCAAAGAAGGACTTTATCTCGGGAAGGGAAGGAAACTTTGAAGACTTCTACCAACTGGGGGAGATGCTGGGAGAGGGAGAGTTTGGTGCCGTCCACAGCTGTACCCACAAGGAGACTGGAAATGAAAGAGCTGTTAAGATCATCCTAAAGGAAGAAATGAGTGAATTGGAGTACGACAATGTTATCCAGGAGTTCCAGATTCTCACTGACATTGACAACCCAAATGTCATTCGAGTCTATGAATTTTTCTCCTCTGATGAGAAGTTCTACATTGTCCAGGAACTGGCCATGGGTGGAGACCTCTTTGATGAACTAGCAGAACAAGGCAGAATCGCAGAGAAAGAAGTTCTCACACTCATGCGAAGCATCCTTGGCTGTGTCCAGTACCTTGCCAAGCGGAATGTCTGTCACAGAGACCTCAACCTTGAGAACATCCTCTTGGATGAAACAAAGAACTATGAGAAGCTCAAGGTGATTGATTTTGGTCTTGCCGCAAGGTGTGAGCCTGGAGAGAAACTGTTTGAAATGGTGGGCAAACCAAGGTACATTTCCCCAGAGGTCCTTGGGGATGATGGCTATGACCTCAAGTATGATATCTGGAGTGCTGGAGTCACTGCTTACACTTTGATGGCTGGGTATCATCCTTTCGAGGCAGACCATGATGTGGAGGTCTACCAACAGATTGTTGATGGGTACTTTGACTTCAAGGGCCCAGAGTGGGAGACAGTCTCAAACCAGGCCAAGGACTTGTGAGCAAGCTACACCTACAAGGATGAAGAACGGCCAACAGCAGAGAGGCCCTCAGCCATCCCTGGATCACTGGTGATAATAGTGGTGTGCCCTTTGCTGCGAGCCTCAAATTGTGTGGAGTGCAGGTAAGCACAACACTCCACTGAGCAAAGCAAAGACTTGGCCATGTTTGTTGCTACTAGGAAGGAACAAGACCAACCAGAAGCCAGACATGACAGGCACAAGGGAACGGAAAAGGATGAGGATGTTCTGCAACAAGGCAGGTCCCACCGGAACCACACAGCTGACTACCCTCTCTGCTGAAAACCAGCTGTGAAATCCAAGGATGTTTGCCTCCGGAAGGGAAAGCTTTGACGACCACACGACCTTGGGAATTGCTGGGGGAGGAGAGTTTGGTGCAGTTTACAAATGCACGCACAAGGAGACAGGAAATGAAAGAGCTCCAAGATCAGGAGAAAGCAGAGATGGACAAGTGGGAGTATGATGCAGTCATTGAGAATTCCAGATCTGACCAGCATTGACAACCCAAATGTATCTGTGTACTGTTTCTATGAAACTGATGAGAAGTTCTACATTGTCCAGGAGCTGGCCAAGTGGTGGAGAGCCTTTGATGAGCTGGAGAAGCAGGTAGACTCTCTGAGAAGGATGTGCTCCCCTGATGCGGAGCATCCTTGGCTGTGTCCAGTACCTTTCCCAAAGCAATTTGCCACAGAGACCTCAACTTGAAAAATCCTGTTGGATGACACAAGGAACTATGAGAAGCTGAAGGTGATTGATTTTGGCCTTGCCGCCAAAGTTGAGCCTGGAGATAGACTGTTTGAGATGGTTGGCAAGCCAAGGTACATTGCCCCAGAGGTCCTTGGTGATGATGGCTATGACCTCAAGTATGATATCTGGAGTGCTGGAGTCACTGCTTACACTTTGATGGCTGGGTATCATCCTTTCGAGGCAGACCATGATGTGGAGGTCTACCAACAGATTGTTGATGGGTACTTTGACTTCAAGGGCCCAGAGTGGGAGACAGTCTCAGACCAGGCCAAGGACTTTGTGAGCAAGCTACTGACCTACAAGGATGAAGAACGGCCAACAGCAGAGGAGGCCCTCAGCCATCCCTGGATCACTGGTGATAATAGTGGTGTGCCCTTTGCTGCTGCTGAGCCTCAAATTGTGTGGAGTGCAGGTAAGCACAACACCCACCTGAGCAAAGCAAAGACTTGGCCATGTTTGTTGCTACTAGGAAGGAACAAGACAACCAGAAGCCAGACATGACAGGCACAAGGGCGGAAAAGGATGAGGATGTTTCTGCAACAAGGCAGGTCCCACCGGAACCACACAAGCTGACAACCCTCTCTGCTGAAGAACCAGCTGTGAAATCCAAGGATGATTTTGTCTCCGGAAGGGAAGGCGGCTTTGACGACCACTACGACCTTGGGGAATTGCTGGGGGGGGGAGAGTTTGGTGCAGTTTACAAATGCACGCACAAGGAGACAGGAAATGAAAGAGCTGCCAAGATCATGGAGAAAGCAGAGATGGACAAGTGGGAGTATGATGCAGTCATTGAAGAATTCCAGATTCTGACCAGCATTGACAACCCCAATGTTATCCGTGTGTACTGTTTCTATGAAACTGATGAGAAGTTCTACATTGTCCAGGAGCTGGCCAAGGGTGGAGAGCTCTTTGATGAGCTGGAGAAGCATGGTAGACTCTCTGAGAAGGATGTGCTCACCTGATGCGGAGCATCCTTGGCTGTGTCCAGTACCTTTCCCAAAAGCACATTTGCCACAGAGACCTCAACCTTGAAAATATCCTGTTGGATGACACAAGGAACTATGAGAAGCTGAAGGTGATTGATTTTGGCCTTGCCGCCAAAGTTGAGCCTGGAGATAGACTGTTTGAGATGGTTGGCAAGCCAAGGTACATTGCCCCAGAGGTCCTTGGTGATGATGGCTACGACCTCAAGTATGATATCTGGAGTGCTGGAGTCACTGCTTACACTTTGATGGCTGGGTATCATCCTTTCGAGGCAGACCATGATGTGGAGGTCTACCAACAGATTGTTGATGGGTACTTTGACTTCAAGGGCCCAGAGTGGGAGACAGTACTCAGACCAGGCCAAGGACTTTGTGAGCAAGCTACTGACCTACAAGGATGAAGAACGGCCAACAGCAGAGGAGGCCCTCAGCCATCCCTGGATCACTGGTGATAATAGTGGTGTGCCCTTTGCTGCTGCTGAGCCTCAAATTGTGTGGAGTGCAGGTAAGCACAACACTCCCACTGAGCAAAGCAAAGACTTGGCCATGTTTGTTGCTACTAGGAAGGAACAAGACCAACCAGAAGCCAGACATGACAGGCACAAGGGAACGGAAAAGGATGAGGATGTTTCTGCAACAAGGCAGGTCCCACCGGAACCACACAAGCTGACACCCTCTCTGCTGAAGAACCAGTGAAATCCAAGGATGATTTTGCCTCCGGAAGGGAAGGCGCTTTGACGACCACTACGACCTTGGGGAATTGCTGGGGGAGGGAGAGTTTGGTGCAGTTTACAAATGCACTAACAAGGAGACAGGAAATGAAAGAGCTGCCAAGATCATGGAGAAAGCAGAGATGGACAAGTGGGAGTATGATGCAGTCATTGAAGAATTCCAGATTCTGACCAGCATTGACAACCCCAATGTTATCCGTGTGTACTGTTTCTATGAAACTGATGAGAAGTTCTACATTGTCCAGGAGCTGGCGAAGGGTGGAGAGCTCTTTGATGAGCTGGAGAAGCATGGTAGACTCTCTGAGAAGGATGTGCTCACCCTGATGCGGAGCATCCTTGGCTGTGTCCAGTACCTTTCCCAGAAGCACATTTGCCACAGAGACCTCAACTTGAAAATATCCTGTTGGATGACACAAGGAACTATGAGAAGCTGAAGGTGATTGATTTTGGCCTTGCCGCCAAAGTTGAGCCTGGAGATAGACTGTTTGAGATGGTTGGCAAGCCAAGGTACATTGCCCCAGAGGTCCTTGGTGATGATGGCTATGACCTCAAGTATGATATCTGGAGTGCTGGAGTCACTGCTTACACTTTGATGGCTGGGTATCATCCTTTCGAGGCAGACCATGATGTGGAGGTCTACCAACAGATTGTTGATGGGTACTTTGACTTCAAGGGCCCAGAGTGGGAGACAGTCTCAGACCAGGCCAAGGACTTTGTGAGCAAGCTACTGACCTACAAGGATGAAGAACGGCCAACAGCAGAGGAGGCCCTCAGCCATCCCTGGATCACTGGTGATAATAGTGGTGTGCCCTTTGCTGCTGCTGAGCCTCAAATTGTGTGGAGTGCAGGTAAGCACAACACTCCCACTGAGCAAAGCAAAGACTTGGCATGTTTGTTGCTACTAGGAAGGAACAAGACCAACCAGAAGCCAGACATGACAGGCACAAGGGGCCGGGGAAGGATGAAATTGCGGCATGTACCATTCAAAAGTTCTTTCGTGCTGCTGAGTTCCTAGCTTTATCTCGCATATCTCGATGGTACACGGGGCCCACTCAACATGCTCCAATTGCTCCACGCGGAAGGATCTTGAAGCAGTGGAGCTTCGTCGGAAGGAAGAGCTGCAGCAATTGGATGATTACATTCGTGTTGAGAAGCATAGGCAGCAGGTACACATGACTCAGCGCGCCGCTGCGTTGAGGGGCAAAGACAGCCCTCTTATCTTCGATCGAGTGCAGAAGCTGTCTGCCAGGCTTGGGAAAGTGAAGGACGAAAACAAATCTCTCAAAGATTCTGCCAATGCAATTTCCCGTGAAACTAGGAAATTGGAAAGGTCAACACTTGTGCAAGCTCACAGGATGCTCAAGGACAAGCTTGACGGTTTGAAGAAATTCAAAGCTGAAGCAAAGAGCACTCTGGCCAATGTGAGGCAGGAACGGACAGATGTGCAAAAAGAGCTCGAGGATACCAAAATAAAGGCCGACAAGGTGCAATCCCAGAGACAGGCATTGGTGGACTGCTTGGCTGCTGTTTCGAATCGCGCACGGGGTGTTCTCGAGCAAACTAACCCGATGTTGCTGAGAGCGGTTGACAAGATTACCAGCGGAAAAGCGGTCCAGGGAGCTGCAACGGCGAAGGGATCGAAGATTGTTTCAGGCAGCAATAGAACTGGAAGTACATGCACTGACAGCAGCGAGAGCACCGAGAGCAGTGATAACCCAAACAATATCGGTAACGAGAGCTTAAGCTCCATTGGTCACGAAAGCGCAACTAGCATGGGTCAAAGCACGAGCATTATCGGCCAAGAAACGGCCAGTGCCCTGGGAGTCAACAACAACACAAGCGACAATGGTGGGCACAGCAGTGTGAAGTTAGCAAAAGAAACTCCACGGGCCACCACCAGCGAGCCAAAAAACGACAATACCAACGGTTTTTCGAGCAAAGTTAGCGACAAACAACCAGGCTCTGCGCCTCAACCCAAGAAGAAGCAAAGCAAAGTACGCAAGGATTACTCATGGCAAAATCACGCCGAAACTGAGGGGGCAGCTGCAAGCGCATCTGCGTCTACGGATGTTTCATGCCCTCAGTTAGGTTCTGGTGACCAAAAAGGTCGAAAAGTTCCCACCCCAAAAGGCAGCCCAAAAAGCAGCAAGAAAAGAGCGTCCGTATCGACGGACAAGGCCGAGAAGAAGGCCGCCGATAAAGACAAACCCAACAAGAAGAAGAGCCCCAAGAAGCGGCTGAGTCTTAGTGAGTCCACCTCGTCTATGGGTGCAGATGACGCTACCCCAGCGGACAAGAAGAAGAAGAAGTCTTTGTCTAAAGAGAAGGCTTCTGCGTCTTCTGGCAAAGAAAAGTCTTCGTCAGGCAAAGAAAAGGCAAAGAAAAACAGACAACAACAACTGCAACGTACCGACTCCGCACCGTCTGTGATGAGTGGCGACGAAGGCCCTGACTTCGAGCCGGAAAAGAAGGGTCGACGAGCCAAGCGTCGCAGCAGCTTTGGTTCGGTGCCTGATGTTAAGAAAATTGCTGAAAAAGTCGCAGCCAGTATTGAGGAGGACGACAAGGAGTATTCCTGGGAGCAACATGGCGCTAGCATGCGCCGGGCAAACACAGACACCTCCCTGTTGAATTCGCCGAAGCGAGAACTCGCCCCCAGACGAAATAATTCTTCCGACGAGAAAAAGAAGAGCGACAAAACACGCAAGAGCAAGCGAAGATAGATCCAACAATCGTTATTTGACCGAACCATAAACACAATGCTTACTAGTAGACGTGACGTTTGTGACATGCGCCAGCTCATGATTTCAGTACATTTATTTTCATGACATCTCCACCGATGGCCGCATCACTCCGTTCGCCATTCACCTTCTGCTGGCTCATGTACCGTAGTGACTTCTATCACCGGGCGAAATAATTGCGAAGCATCCATGGGATCAGCAGGGATGATCCCGGTACAGTAGCATATGAACGTCCGCTTTGGTTCGGACCTCTCTTCGAGTTCAACCTTGCAGAGGATAGAAGCGTGACCTGGAGCCACGTTCATGGGACACACCGGCATCGCTGCACAAGAGCGAGAAACCTCCACAGAGCGATGAGTTCGTCGTGTTCTGCCAGATGGCTAGCTAACTTTGAGCTAGCTAAATAGACGACACTTTGGTTGCGACGTCCGACTGGCTACCGGTAGCTAGCTAGGCTACGAGGATAGATGAAGAAGCAAGTTGTCTTCGCGAATTACGATTTGTGTTCCTGGTTGTGCCTGGATACTGAAGAACAACCAATCCGGTAAGTGTCAGTGCTCACAATCAAATGAATAAAGATTTCACAGCATCCTCGGCTCGGTTCCGGGATCCCCGCCCACCCTTGAGACAGTCTACCGTTGTCAAAGTAGCTTGTAGCTACGTGCTGGTGTAGCCACCGGCAGGTCGAAGCCTACCGTACGATGCAACCAAACCTTCTGGAAACCTTATTTTGACTGAACCGAAACGCAGAGAAGCAATTACAACACGACCTCCTCTTCAGAGTGGGCATGCACTACTGGTACCAGGTGGCGGTAGCTAGCCAGCCAGACGAGCGAAAAATACGGTAGGTGTCAATTCACCCAAACTATGCAGAGCCATTTTCTTGAAAACGAGGCCGCGCCAATGCACACTTCAACAAAAGTTCCGAGGAAAAGACGAGAGGATTGAGGGGTTCGCTGAGGTGAGTGACGAGTGGAACCTCTGCCGGAGAAGAGTTGACACCCGTGCATCCATTGGAAACCATTCTCGTGGCTGGCCTGCAATTGCCGATCACCACCGTCACTGGTGTCCATCATGTCCTCCACGTTCGCTTCTACCAGCGATGTGGCTCTGTTTTTGGCGTCGGTCATGTGGATGACGGCAATACTCAAAAGGAACTCCACCAAGTCATCATCTAAAGTTGTGAGCCATGACAGAGTCGTGGTCGTCCCACTCTTGAATCATACAGACATTTGGGTAAACGACATTCTCCCCTTTCTAGGCCTGGGTCAGTATGCCTTTGTGGCCCCAGTGTGCCACAAAATGAACGCCATGTATCAGGAGTACTGTGATTCGGTGGTGCCACCTGATGCGCAGGCTCAACAACATGGCACCACAGCGACTAGCAATGATACCTTTTACAGCAATGTGTTCTACTCGGTACCGTGTGCCACAATGTGGGATGCTCAAACCAGAGACAATCCAGACAGGTACACACAGGTTTGCGCTGTGGCGGCCAAACTTGGGAGTCTTGCCGTTGTCCAATGGGGGCAAGAACAGGGATTTCCATGGGATGAAACTACCTGCACCAATGCTGCCCAGAATGGGCATTTGGATATCCTACAATATGCCCATGAACATGGATGTCCCTGGGACCAAGAAACTACCAAAATGGCAGCTGAACATGGTCATTTACAAGTACTACAATATGCACATGAGAATGGATGTCCATGGGATCCCATCATTTGCCATCTGGCGGCTGGGAATGGCCATTTGGATTGCCTCCAATATGCTCATGAGAATGGCTGTCCATGGAATGAAGGGACATGCTGTAGTGCAGCCAAAAATGGCCAACTAGACTGCCTCCAATATGCTCACGAGAATAGCTGCCCATGGAATGAGAGCATTTGTGAAGCTGCTGCTGAATTTGGACATCTCCATATTCTCCAGTATGCTCATGAACATGGATGTCCATGGGATGAAGAGACTTGTGAGAAGGCAGCAGAGTCTGGTTCCCTAGAAATTCTTCAATATGCACATGACAATGGCTGCCCCTGGGACAGTTGTACAACCATGAAAGCAGCGGAACAGGGGCATTTGGAGTTACTACAATATGCCATGAAAATGGCTGCCCATGGGACAGGAACAGTTGTGCCAATGCTGCCCTCAAGGGCCATTTGGTGGTGGTACGATACCTGCATGAGAATGGGTGCCCCTGGGATTTCTTTACATGCATTTATGCTGCCAAGCATGGCCATTTGGAAACCTTGAAATATGCTCATGAACATGGGTGTCCGTGGAATGCACGAACCTGTCACGCAGCTGCAGAAGGGGGTCATCTCGAGGTGCTGAAATATGCCCATGAAAATGGCTGTCCCTGGGAAACGTGGAGTTGCACCCTGGCAGCTGGAAGGGGGCACTTGATTGTCCTCCAGTGGCTACGCGAGAATGGATGTCCATGGGACAAAACCACAAGTGGATACGCAGCTGAAAATGGCCATCTGGAAACTTTGAAGTGGCTTTGTGCCAATGACTGCCCATGGGAAGAAGCTTGCTTGAAGGAGGCTGAGCGAAAAGGACACACTGCAATTATCAAATGGGCACATGATAATGGCTACGCCGAGTAGAAATCCGTGTCACCAACTGTAGCTCATCTCTGCTGAGTACAATACTATCATGGAGTTTTCCCCTATGTAACAAAGCTGTACGTATCCAAAGTCTTGATGTTCCGATCTCTTCGCGTTCCTAGTGGGATTCATCCCAGGTAGAACGTTTGAAAGGACCAAATAGTGCACATTCTACTTTCGGCAAAACGGAAGTAACAGCTGATCAAACAGCTTTTAATGGAAGGTCTGTGGGGCGGATTCGGAAAGCTATATTCCGATTGGTCAATGTTGGATGGGCCCCAGCATGAACAGCAATGACTTTGCCATAATCTTTTGTGGTGACTGACTCCGGTTGCTGCTTGTCGAGCAAAAAGACAATCGAACCAGAGCATGAAGTAAATGCATTCAAATCGCACTCGACGTGGTTATCACCAACGACAGTAACTTTTCCGGTGTAAATATGGACATTTCCTGGCCTTCCATAAATGGTAGGAAGTTCCTCTTCCTTGACGTTGCGCAAAGGAAATCTCTCGCTGTCTCTCACAAGCTGAAACGAGGCAGCTTCGACAGTGATGCCGTCCGTCATGGATCCAATTAATTGTATTGCCGAATGAAAAATTGTATTGCCGAATGAAAAATCATGGCCGTATCGCCAGAAAATTCCATCCTGTAACTCCTTCCGGTCCTGTTCACTTATTACATTCCAATTCAAATCTTCGAACGACAAAGGCAGCCACCCTTGTACATGATCTCCAGCTTGTACCAACAGACAACAGACGGGCCCCTTTCGCTTTCATATTATGCTTCGGGTCGTTGAGCAAACTTCGCAAATTGTGCTTGACAGTCACTGGGGTGACCGCAAATTGAGGACTCCCTCCAGGACTGGTCGCTCCAAGACTATTTCGCCGAATTGCCGAGAAAACTCCACTTCCAGTGGAAATACTTTCGAAAGCACACGTCGGCCAAATCTTCACTGATAGCTTCCTTGTCGTCAACGTAGGCGAGACCATGGCGAACAGAAACTCATCCTGGGTTCACCAGGCACTCAGCTATTCCCATAGGAGTCACCGTATCGTATTCCATAGTATTGTTGGAGGAGGAGGAAGAAGAAGCCCAAGCAGTACACGTAGCATTAGAAGAATGTGTCGATAGCCGAGGTTTCGGGCATGACACTAAACACCTTGGTTGAGTGAATGACGATTCGATTCGAGTCGTGCATAATCAGAATCCTAATCAATTTTTGGAGCTATCCTAATTAATTTTTGGAGCGGCTCCAAAAATTGATTAGGATAGCTCCAAAAATTGATTAGGATTCTCATTTATCCACGACTCGCATCGTCATTCGTCCGGCTGTCTTTAAGTCTTCTCAACTACTGGAACGGTACCCGTACTTATTACCGATATGGAACCCCAACCAGCACCACCGATCTTCGGACGACCCTGTTATGATACTAGTAGTGGCTCACACAGCCTTCAAGCCCCGGATTCCCTTTATCTGCCTTCCTTATAAAAGACCATAACCCCTGTAGTCAGCCGATCTCCTTACAATCTTTTAGAAGACACGGCTCATCAGTGGCAGCAGCAGCAGAATGGATGAAGGGAACGATGAAGACACTAAAAGTAGTATATGCCGAGAGGCTGTTGCGCTCTGCAAAATTGAGTGGACCAATCAGGACATTAGTGCTACGTTAGAGAGATCGTCGGAGGCAAAAGAGAGTACAAGGGAGATTGAGGATCATGTAGCCTATTTGGAGGGACTTCTAGCGGAAGCCAATGCACAGAAAGAAGTCTGTACTTCCCGGGAAAAAGGTCTCAAGAGAAAACTGGAAGGGTTGAAACAGAAAAAGACCGCCCAAGAAAACCATGTACAAGATATCGTGGAAAGAGGAAATTTGGAAAGCCCTCGTGAATTGAATATCTTAGGCCTTGGTGAGAAAGAATCAGAGTTATCAGAGGAAGAAACGCAAGTGTTACAAGCCATTCAAGACATTCGCAACTTTATGGAAGCGGGAAAACTGGAGGAAGCACGCACCGCAGAAGCAGCCTTGGCGGCCTGGGTGAATAGTGACGATGATTTGGTCTTTCCGGACCCTACTCGCATTTTGGGAGCACATCATGCCAAGCGTGCTCAGTTTGTTCGCCCCTACAGCATTTGTTCCTCGGAAGATGTGGAAGCCACTCTGGAATACGCCTCTGAAAGGCCGGAAGAAGTCATACCTCCTCTAGCGGGTGATGCTATCATGGAATTCATGATGGGAATGATGGGGAATCCGCAAAAATGCCCCAAACCACCGCACATCAAGCTGCAAGTCTTGAATGAGATTCGTTGCTTTGCAATGGTTCTTGATAAGGCCAGAAAGGCTGCAAGGAAGCAAGTCGCGGAGGACAGTGATGATGATGACGAGGAGGAGGAAGACAGTGATAGCGAAGACGAGGAAGACAGAAGGCAAAGGAAACTGGTTGGCAAACGAGCGATCAGCTGGAACTCCATTGAAGTGTCAATCCGCAAACATCAAGAACTTAAATTGAAGCACAACACTATGCAGCTTGAGCTCCCCAGCGACAAGTCAGCTCCTATAGCCAGATTCAACACCGAGGCTCATTTTAGATTTGCAAGTCCCACGTCCCTGGAATCTACTCCAGATCTGACGAGAGCAATGGTTCGCTGTGAACTCCGCGAACTCTCTGACGATCCCACATTGTCGTCGTCCAAAGAGGGCACTTCTTCTCTGACTATCCCTCGACCTGCTGTCTACGAGGCCTGGCCCGAGGAATTTGATAGGGGGAGATTCCACATGGATCTGGACGGCGACTGGATTGGAAGATGCGGAGGAAAGGAGGTAGACTGCTTCCCAGTTCCAAGCCCTGAAAGCGATCATGGTCCAGATATTCCAGAACTGCGCGAACTTCGAGAAGGGCCAGCTGGTAAGGATTGGTACACGGGCTGCATCGCGGACTCAAAACGAAAGCTTGTTTGGGCCACGAATGGCACGGGTGATCTGCATGGCTTTTCTTGCGAGAGTACAGAGAAAGTGGCAAGCTTGTCGTTTGGTAAACAAGAAAAGATGAAGAATCGACGATTTTTTGGTGACGGTTTTTTCAACATCTGCCGTGTGGGCAATCACATTGTCGGGTCGGGTGTAACCTCCAACCTATCGGTCTGGTGTATAGACCAGGCACTGGAAAACTTTGCCAGCAACGGAGACAAGCCCATGGCGCCTAGCCGTGTTCGAGTGGAAGACGCCTCTAGCAAATTTGAATGCGGCGAAATTTCATGGCTTGGTGGTTCCAATATACTTGTTGGTGCTGCTCAGATTGAAGAAGACGGAAGGTACAACCCATCTCTGAGGCAGTTTGACTTGGAGCGGGAGGCTGTCGTGGGCCTGTACTGTGGACTCAAAGGTGGAATGTCAATCGAAAAGCAGCACTGCTTCGAACGCTTCAACTCAATTCTTCTAGCTGACAGCCACTTCAGCTATGTCTTTGATGTCAGGACCTTCAAGCCTTCTATTACTCTTGATACAGGGCACATTGAAGGCCAAATTTTGGGGATCCCTGGGCCAGCGGCCATGACGGCATTTGCTTTTTCGCAACGAAATGCCGAAAACATCCAGTGCTGGGATCTTCGTATGCCAGGTGAGTTCAGGAAGTCTTGTCTCACGCTCAACACAACGACAAAATGATTATGGCAGGATACCGCTCACATTTTGCTTTTCCTTGCATCTCCCAGCTTCTCACGCCTATTCCATGTGGACGGGCAACAACAGTGTCAATGGTCTCTTTTGGCACGAGCGAACGGCTAGCTTGATCGCTTCGACCTCCAACTTGCATCATCTTCATCTGCGTAACATTCGCTCAGGCGAGCGCGCCGCCAGGGGTGAATGGTATCCAGAATCTGATGCTGATGATGACTCTGACTGGCCTGAGGAAGCGGTCCACGATCCTGGCTACTTTGGTAACTCAAAGTGGTGTCGCGACATTGGTTTCTCTGCTCTGATCCAATACTCTTTCAACAGTGGCAAGCCAGTATCGTCTCCTTCGAAAGAGTGAGGGGTCCGTGAGGAAGCCTCATAGAAGAGTGGACCAATGTACACGGAGGAGCATGGCTGTTGCTGCAACAATCAAACCGTAAGGGGGCTGTTGCCTGAAAGCAATCAAACCAAGGTTGCCTACCGGTACTTCCGGAAGCCGCCAAAGCAAAATCAAGAAAACTTGCATGGCATCCCCTTCTTTACCGATAGGAAACATTTAGAAAAAGGCTTGGAATTGTACCAGGAGTTTCTCCGAAGTAGCTGCATCCTGGTAGATCAATGGATTAGCTATGGATTCGAGAACCGGGAAAGGACAATGCAGAGGAGTGGATGCTTTGAGGATACCGGTACAACCAATTTCCACGGATCTTCCAGGCTTGTCCTGTCCATGAGCTTGATCTTGTGGTACTGGGCTGGGTGCTTCGTCACAGTTCATAAGAATCGAGTCATTCGATCAATCCGCTTCAAAATCACAACAGTTCTACCTTGGAACAAATGACAACCACGATAAAAAGGGCAATTTGTGTCCACAGTTGGGAACGTTGGAATCAACTTCTCATTCCTCCATTTCATGCGCAACACCATTGCCGCAAGATCTGCTCGCTGATGGGTACACCAGCGGACTCGCATGTACAACTTCTTGCCCTGATATCAGGAGGACGTTGCATCAAGCAACTTTGGCCCCATCTTTTATTTGTGCGACTTAGATAGCGGCCATGGGCACTGTGGCGTGGCACCGTCAATTTATTCGGATAATCGTAACTTTCACGTGTCCAGATTGGACGCGTTCTGCGCCGATGTTGGACCTGAAGGTGACTCAAATGTGAACGATGAAGCCTACTTCGAACACGATGGGAGCAAAACTATCCCCATGAGGGACTCACCAACCTGTACAGCTGTGTAGGTGGCTACTAGCACTGCTTGCATGATGACTTTGAATGAAACGACCTGGACGTTCATAGGTTCGAGGGGCGTTGCGTCTCTCATCTCACCGGCATCTCGCCGAGTAAAGCGAGACAGAGGTGGAGTCAACGCCACTGCTACCCCAAGGCGAATACAGCTCCCGGTGCACGTACAATAGGCATTGCTCTTCAAGTCTGGGAATAGTTGGTGGGACGTCCTCTGGGACTGCTTGGCTGGGCAAATGGCGTCTGATCCGCATCTTTTGTGACGATGGCGGTGCGATTGAGCTGCTACATCAAACTTCCAACCCGTCCAATGCACCGGTGACGTACCGTGCGAGTCTGACACTGTTGAGCGCCAAAGCATCCACTCGGATGTTGTCGTGGGGAGTTATTCCTCGCAGTTGGGACACTTCGCACTGTGGAAGTACCTTGACCGGCACTCCGACACAGGTACGTGCACTGATTGGCAGTACGAATGTGGAGACAGCAATTGCTTTCGTTTTTTTATCTCCTGATACCGGTACGGGCAATGCATTGGATGGAGGCGACGACCTTCGGTACACGTGTTTGGGAGCTGTGGCTCGGCTGAATGACGGAGACGAAGGGGTCGCCTTGCCAAATCCCAACGTGACCCTGAAAACAGTTGGGCCGTACGTGGGGTACCGGTACTCTGTTGAGGCTTGCTCTCCTTTGAACCTTCCGAAGCACCCCCAACAAAGTATTGGAGTTGCGGAGGCTTCTGCTCCGTCTGGCGGCATCGGTGCGTTTGCAACAAGTTCTCCCTCTGTTGAAGACGGACGAGTGATCGAAGTGACCACAGCGTCTCCCACTGAGGAGGCAGAAAACATCGTTTGTGTGAATGAATCGCTTTGGTGCTACAGGTGACTTGCCGTGACCCCAGGCTCTTTAAAACCCTGGAGGATTGATTCTTTTGGTTTTGTGCATTGAATCGGTTGGTGAACACTGGGACTAACGAAAGTTGCACGACAACGTCTTTTTAAGGATGTCCCACGGGGGTATTTCTTAAAAGTGTGAAAAACCCATCCTCTCCGTGCTTTTATCGCGACAAGAAAAGTGAGGGGCCATCATTGTTGTGCTACCTTCGAACTATTCCTACTCCACCAAATGCTAGTGTCTGTTTCTTGTTGAGATATTCCACCTTATAAAGTAAACTATGCTCTATCCAACTGACCACAATGGGACACAAAATGTGTTGTTGTGTGTTCAGCCAATGTAACTGCCATCGGCCCTTGAAAAACTGTTCATTCCAATGAACTGCCGTGCTGTGACACCCACTTCGCTCCATAGACAGCCAATCTTTTGTGTCCCTTTCTTCAGCATGTGCTGCACCGTACTCAACAATGTATAGTGACTTGCCATCATGTCATTGGAGTGTGCCGTTCCAGAGCTGTTATGCATGTTCCCAGTGGCAGATTAGTTTGTTGTCGTGTTGCAATAGTGAGCAGTCCAAATGGTTCGCTCCGATCCACGGAAACCCATGGCCACTAGCGAAGAACGGCACGCTCGAAAAGGAATTTCGCTGATCAGAGAAATCGAAGATCGACACAAACAGAGTTACTGCGACACTGTTTAGCGCCAAATTGCAATTTGGCTACTTACAGGTTTCCACCATGATGAGCGACAGAGTTACCACTATCCAATGATGTTGCTTGCATTGACTTTGCTGCCGCTGCCTGCATGCTGAAGGAGTTCCACAACACCACCATCAAGCCAGCGGCCAAGTATTGGATGAAGGGAGAAGGTATTCGCCCTCCCTCTCTTGAAGAGACTGACCAGCCAGCTGCATTCACTGTTGTTGAGGCAAAGAAGATCGCACGTGAGTACAAGACGCATGACATGTCGAGTAAGATGTGGTGTTACAACCTTGTTTTGATGGATGGAAGTGACACTTTGTTCAAGGCAACCACCAATAGTGGACTCTCCCACTACTTCGACGCATACCAGATCTTTGTTGGAATGACCATCTTTGTGGAAGACTATTCGATCGTCTTTCAGACATCCAACCGGTCGTACACATACAAGATGTACATGCTGATCAGGAAGATGAGCTGGAAGCTGCCTCCCCAGATGACTGGAATGATCATTCTTCCTCAAGATATGTGTGAAAGTGTGGTCATTACAGGTGTCAGGCCCAAGGAAGTCTCCACGAATAGGAAGCTGGATTCCTGGGGTATCCATTACGTCTCTCGTTTCGGTGCTGTGGTACCACTCATCGAGGCGACCAATTCTCCTGCCGCCAACAGGGACATGCACCACCTTTGGATGCCAGCAGACAAAGGGCCTTACTTCAAAGGTGAATGGATCCAAGATCCCTCGACTCGCCAGGAATGGAAGGATGTCATGGACTATCCGCTGATGGTGAGGCGTGGATTGGACATGTCGGAGTGCATTCTTTGGACCTATGACCTTTACGACGAGGAAGATAACAAGCGTCAGAATTATTTCATCGTGGTTCAACCAAGCGAGGGTGAAGAAGGTCACCACAACAGCTTCCATTATCCGAATCCGCAGTTGAAACGATCAAATGTTGGTAGGGAATCACCATCCTCATCTAGCTCCCCCATTTCCTTCCCCATCGGCACCTTTTTGTTGCCGATTCGAGGATTTGCTGCAGGTTCCGATGGTCTGTGTCTTCTTTGGAACCACACTACCTTGGAGTGAGGCCCTGGCATGGGCATCCTCGTCCTGCAATCCTTGTGGAATGGCTGCCCTGGAATCTTGTCCTCTTGCTGCCTTTCTTTGGTGCTTTTGCGGGCCGACCGGTGTCAGTGAGACCAAGCTGATCAGCTCTGGCCCTTGATCTTGTCTGTCTAGCACCTTAAGATTGAAAGCAAGGTCCAAACCAAGGGCTTTCTGCATCAGTTGGTGGCAGCGCTTGTTCTGTTGCATGTGAGATTGCTGATATCCCACAGATTTAATTTTTTATTGCAGTAAGGGCACTAAAACTCCTTCTTGATGATGCCATGGCTGCAAGTAGCTAGCCAACACTAGCGCTGCTACTAGTACTAGCTAGGCGCACTGGCTGGTGATTTGGATTCTGTGTGCTGGGAAACCGCCCGCTTACCAATCGGGATATTAGGTTATGGTACCAAAGAGAGGTTTGCCTTCCCGAAAAGACGGTCCAAAAAGTGGATCCCAAATCGTGAAGCAGGCAGTCTTTGCCGGCGGCCTTCGTTGCATGCCCATGCTGGAACACACAATCCGATTCCAATCACGCACGCATTCTTGGAAGAAATTACGTCACGGATCGGGATCGTGCTGGTTGGCGTTTGGTACCTGCACGCATGTCGATTCTAGCACTACCTAAAATGCGCTTCTTAGATGAAACACGAACAAATAAGGGCGAAGAATCCATCTTGGTTGAAGATGCATCAGGGCTTGATAGTTGATAAACGAAGCTGCAAACTGTTCCGGCCGGTTCCGAGAACAAGCAGTCTGGACCGTTGGTTCCATTGAGAGTTGACCAACTGGTTAGTCTTCCCAAAGATCGATGTTCTTCCTCTTGACACCTCCACAGCTAGCACCATTGCGAGCCACCGAATCGTCATTGTTTCCAGTAGCAGCCCCAACAGTGCTGTACCTCACTCCTTTCGGATTCGGATACAACGATCGCACCGCCTTGACAAAGCACACCGGCAATGGCTTCCTCCCGTTGACAAACTTGTAACCGTTCACAGCATAGTACCAGTAGAAACACCAGCGCTTGTGGTTGGAGCCAAGTCATCGAAGTGATCACCGTCGAGATGTCCTTGAAGTTTGCTGGACACTGAAAGATACAGTTCGCAAATGTCAACATCTTCAAGAGGCAAGGTGAGAAGAATGCATTGGGTGAAACCATACTCGGAACAGCACTGGCAA